TCTAGCCCGGTCCATGCTTTCCTGTTGCTGTTGAAAGGGTGTGTGGAAGGCTGAATCTGGCGCACCCGCAATCAAAGTGAAGAGGCTAAAACATGCATCATAGGTCCTGTCTCTCTCCTCTGGGGGCGCTGGTTGTGGCACCCGGTTCATGCAGTCCGCAACAAAGTCTTCCATCCAGGGCGTGGTAGCCACCATCGTGGAGTTACTGTGAGCCACATTCATTGGGTCGACGTCATCACTGGGGTGTACCCGAGAGGTCCAGATTCCCCCATCCATGGCCTCCGGATGGTCCGGTGGCACTTGTTGCATGCAGAGCTGCATGAACAACTCCCCCTCCGTCTGGGTGGGGAAAATACCATGGTCCAGCAGGCTGTCTCGCATGTGTTCAGGGAGACGAACCATTGCCAGGCCAAAAGGTGTTCTACGCACAAGATCGGGTTCCATGATGTCCCGACTCACTATGGCCAAACCTGGCCCAAAAAGGGTACTGCGGGTGTGCGGAGCACTAACACATGAAAAGAGCAAGCTGAAAGAACAAACACTGAAAAACAAGGGGAAACCGTCAAAGTTGCAACTGGACCAGAGCAAGAGCAAGCCACGATTACATCAGTCACATCAGCGTAATGGGCGAAGCCCGAAAGGATACCAATGACATCAAACCAAGGAAAAACCTGTAGTGTTCACATCGCAACATGCCGTAAATGACATTGAGGCAGCCACATGCAGGTTTCCCTTTTTCGCTGTGTGAGCTGGCATCCCAGCGGTCTGGCCCCTGTCTTGGCCCTTGTCGTGGTGCGCAACCAATGCTATTCATACAAAAAAGGAAGGTGTCTGCAGAACCGAGTGGTGACGTTGGTGCAAGACGCTACCAGGCCACCAGGTCAGTAAAACAGCCCCTCGCAAACACTCAGCTCTCAGACCGGCTGGACTCTGCTCGCTGCCAGCGCATTGATCTTCTGAAGGCCTTCGAGGTCCGGGTTGCTCAAAAGGACCGACCAAATGGCGTTGGAAACATTGCCATTTCCATTCTGGCAGGAAAACTTCAAGCGCTGGGTGTGGTCAGGGTCCACTTCCAAGGCCACATCTCGCGGGGCCGCAGTCGGCTCCACTCGCTTGTAATACTCAAGCCTGGACTTCACCCAGCTGTTGTACAGCTGTTGAGGTGGCTCGTCCAAAATCAATTGGAGGTTGACTTTGGCTCCCCGGTGCTCTCCAATCAATTGGACAAAGCGGGAAGCTCCTCTCGCTTGTCGCCAAAAGCCCTGGCAGGCCTTGCAAACCCAGCCTCCACGAGTCACTCCAGCCTCTTTCGTCTTCAGTTCCCAGGGACTGATACTGCTGAGGATGAGCCCGCAATCGGTGCGGCCCCAAAAGGCATGGACTCCACGGTGGCCATAGTGCTCCCGCTTGTACTTGGGGCTGCATATGGAGACCACATTTTCCACGGAGAGCTCGGGGTCGGTAAGTGCCCGAAGCTACCGTAGTCGCCCGCAGAGCCTCCGGCTCCAGTGCCGTCTTCAAGAAGCCATCAATCTCAGCCTGGGAGTAGCCCAGACGCCAATAGAAGCTCTCCGCCTTCTCATGGGGGACCAGGGCAACCCACCATAGCTCACAGTTGCACCTCCAGGCGACTTGCACTTGGACCATGCTGTGGGCCCCCAGAGTGGCTGACAGTGCCTGGAAAACGTCCGGGAGCTGCCTGAAAGCATCCAAAGGCAAGGTGATGCGCTCGTCACACACCGCTCGAAAACGGAGCTGTTCCTTTGTGTCCTGCTCGGGCAAGTCCAAGACCACCGCTGGGGTTCTGGCTAAGAAGACCGAAGCAGCCAAAAAGCTGCCAATTTCTTTGTAAAGCAGCCTGATCTCGTGTTGTGATTGGGGAAACCGGAGGCCCACACTAGTGAGGAAGGACTTGATCTCGGAAGTCCTCTGCCGGTGTGCCGCCAACTCTGCCACCTTCTTCTGGCGGATGCCTTCTCCCTGCCCTCGGCGCATGGATTTGATGATCAGAGGCATGCCACACCAAGCCTGGTAGATCCCTTTGAACGTCCAGGACTGTCCAAACATCGTGATCATGGAGGGGAGATCCCATGACTGCACCCTTCGAACCAGGTGGGTATCGTCGGTGCCAGAAGCTACCGCCGTCCCCGGGGCCCAAAAGAAGCCAATGATCTTGTCCAGGTCGGGTCGCTTGCCATCGGCAATCTGCTGCAGGACCACCTGTTCCGTGTAGGTTCTGGGCGTGTAGAAGGAGGTGCCCAGCGGGTTTGTCCTGAGCTCCAAAGCCAAGACCTCAGTCGTAGGTGCAGGTTTCGCCCAGGCAGGTGCCGTGAGCGGGCCCTGTCGCAGTTCCCACTCTCCGCCCCAGGCTCTGACTTCACCTTTGTGGTACTGCAAGATGGAGTCAAGGATTGCGTACTTGCGTTCAAGGCTGTCAGGCGGAAGGAGTCGTGCTAACTGGGCCTCTTGGGAAGATACGTCTCCTTCCCCATGGTGTACATGTCGAGTTGGGTTTTTGGGAACTCCGTCATGAGGCGGTCCTGGGAGAGCGGAGGCCGATTGTCCTTGATGAGCTCCTTCATGCGAAGGTAGGGTTGTTTGAGGGCCTCCATGTCAAACTGTTCAGGTCCTTGTGGTCCCATGGCCGGCGCGAAGACATTGCTCTGCCACGCCTCTTGCAGAGTTGGGGTCCAAAGTGAGAAGGGCGCCACGTCGATGGGCTTGAGAGCCTTGCGGCGGTCTCTGAACTCCGTGTCAAGGGCCTTGTTGGCAGCCGCCGCTTTGTCCTGTGTTGTCTGTGCTGCCACCAAAGCTTCATAAGAGGAAGTGAGACCACTTTCTTCGTGTTTTCGCTTGAGGTAGGACCGAAACTGCTGGAGGTCAGCGTGGCGAAGAATTTTGGCACTGACCGGATTCTGGGTTTCCTGCGCACCCTGCTGGATGGCAGTCAAGGTGTGTAGCTCATCCTCCATCGCCACAGTCTCTTGCTGATGCTGAATCTCCTTCTTCCTCTTTTTGGCCTCCTGTGCCGCTTCTGTGAGTTCTTCTTCTGGTGTTGCCAGCAAGTCAGCCTTGAAGCGCATCAGTTCAATAGTCTTCGGATGAAAGATCACCGCAGTTTGAGTAGGGTCTCGATCATCCATAGTGGGGGGGCCGCACGCCATCTGGATGAAAGATCTCGTCCTGCCCGAAGGCCACCACGTGTTGCTGCAGTGTCAGGCGCTGGGAGGCAGGCACTTGCTCCGAAAAGCTGACCAACCCCATATCGGCGCCCGAAGCTGCCGCAGGGGGAGGTCGGCCCAGATCGCCCACTTCCACAAAGCCTGCGGCCTTAGTGACCTTAGAGTCTGTTGGGACCCAAGTTGGTCCAGCCTCAGTAAGCCTCAGTTGCCAGGACTGGCCGGCCACCTCAATCACCGACAAAGGTGTCACTGACAGGTCAACAGGCTGAGAGCCTTGGCGAAGCAAACATTTGGATAACTTCCCCCACGGTGCACTGCAATCAGAACAGACTAATTGCAGAGAAGTTCCGGGGTCCGTCTCTTTCAAATTCACCATGGAGCCCCCACGCTGCGTAGTGTGCCGGAGTTTCAACATCTGTGTGTGGACAGCCTCGCGCTTCGAGATGTGATACACCTCTGCGATCTTGACCACCAAGGGTGCCGTCCATGGAGAACTGCGGAAAGCGTCCAACAGGGAACGCAGCTCACCATGCGTAATGTCTCTGAAGTACTTGGCAGCAGAGTGAGGTAGGGCCGGAACCAAGGGTGCCCAGCCTTCGATGGTGAAGGTCTCTGTGGTCTGATCCACGTGGAGCGTCAACGTCTCCTTCTCTAAGGTCTGTGGTGTCTGAGCTGGAGTCGGTGCCTCAGCCTGGACGAACCCCGACGGAGGTTTCACACTTGACGCTGCCACACCTGTCTCCGGCTTGGGTTCCAAGCCCAAGTTTTCCATCACTTTCTCCATCTCATGGAGCTGCGAAGCCAGTGTCTCCTTGGTGATGGCGGGATCATCTTCAAACTCTGTCGTAACCTCGGCCGGCGCAGCCTCAGTCACCGGTGTGGAAAGCAACATGTAATCGTCCCCTGCATCCATTTCTGTTCCAATCAACGAGAAGGAGCCCACGGTGCCAGTCTCACTTGCTACTGGACTAGAAGCCGCCATGAGCAAGACAAGAAGATCAGAACGTTTTTTCGAAAGTATTGGATCACAGGGGGAACAGCTTGAGCCAAAATGGCATAGCCATTTTGGCAACTATATCGTCAACACATTACTTGCTCTCCACAAGTTCCAAGCAAAGAAACAAATATACATATTATATATGTGTAATGAATGACTCATGCAATAACTGGTACTAAATTAATCGTCGGAAGGTATGGTTAATTAGTCACCAAAATAGAGTCCTCGAAAACAACAAGCCAATTCAAAATTAATTGAAAAAATGGATAACCAACGGTCCACCTGGATTAATTTCTTAAGGTAGGGGTCGTTGCAATGATACTTTAAATGTCTGTTCTTGGGTGCGGTACTTGTATTTTGCGAAACCACCGGATAAGTCCAAGGAGGAGGCATCACTGCATCACTCAGCACAATTGTGTTGCAGAATTCTGGTTTGCCCTGCAATTTCTCGGTGAAAAATTGTGAAAACATGTGAAAACCACGTATTCAGTTTTCGTTCCCATTGAGTTCCGAAACCTCTGCCGGTTTTTCAGTCCGTGTCATGTCTTCACCCCCTTTTCGATGATTCATTCCTTCGAATCCTGCCGAGCTATCGTTCAGGCATGGAGGTTCTGCAAGTCACGAACTAGGGCCAAAGGGGCCAAAAACATACAAGACTTTTAGTATCCTGAACCAAACTGCACCAACATGTCATATTGTGTCATACTGTGTGATATCGCTATCAAACACTATGCAACATCATCCAACCCTATAACCCCTTAGACTCCTCAGCCCATCATGGCCACTATCCAACAAAAAAGCCAGGTCCGGGTCCCAGCGACGCGGGGCAGTGAAGCCCTTGAAGCAAAGGTCATCCGTGCTGCTGGCAGGATCCCAGTAGATGCCATCGTAGGTCGAGCCGAACTTCCCTGCATTTTTTTGGGAGCTTCACAAGTATTCAAAGATCAAAGATTCAAAGTCACGGCTGATTTGTTTGCTCCAACATTTTGGGAAAATATTGTCCAAGAAGATTGCAACACACCTACCCTCATCACTAGGATTCTGTCGAATGCCTCGCCTTCAAGGGAATGAGAAACAATGGCTCTTAAATCACACAAATACCCAAAGAGCTGAGTCTTCTCTTCATATTCCAATCCGTGGTGAACTATTGCCTGGTTCCAATAATCCGTGATTCGGATTTTATACATATCCTTGTGTTTATCATTGCCAAGCAAATCAGCGATACTCTGCCTAGGTCTGGACAAGACCAGCGGATCCAAGCAGGCACTCGATAGACTTTGGAGCCTTGGAAAAAACTACATCAACATGGATCTATAAAGGCTTCTGACACGCATGTTTGCCATGGTTTCACTCCTATCCCCAACATTTTGATTGCGGGGTTGCTTGTGCCCTTGTGTTTGGCTCGCTTGTGCCCGGTTAGCTCCTTTCCGCTCGAAAAGCAGGGGTTTGCATAGGTGATATTGCAGCATGTGTACATTCTATAGCTGCGTGCCCCCACGTCCCTCCCAGTTCCCCTCCCCAGTCCCCAAGTCCCCCCCAAGTCCCCTAAAAGTACACCCTTCATGGCTGTATCTTTGCATACGGGAGTGTTGCATGTGTACCCCCAAGTCCCCCCACGTCCCCTAAAAGTAAACCCTAAATGGCTGTATCTTTGCATAGGGGAGTGTTGCATGTGTACATTCTATAGCTATGTGCCCCCATGTCCCTCCCAAGTCCCCCACTAGTCCCCAAGTCCAAATCCCCTAAAATTAGACCCTAAATGGTTAAACCATTGTAGAGTAAGATGTTCCGGAAGTGCTTATGTCAATCTGGACGTAAGTGATCCTTTCGTCTGGGCGCATTAGGCTTTTCCCAATGTGGTCTGTTGGGAGATCGTCAGCCCAGGTAGAGATGGCAAAAGTGTTTGAAAAACCAACCCAATATATTCTGTATACGTAGTGTAAATATCCGCATAGAAACATACATATTCATACATGCATTTGCATATGAAGACTGTAAAAGTGTTGTGATGGCGAGAGGATCAACAAAGTTGGAGTATTCAAATGCAGTGTATGCATGCTTATTTGTACACATATGCATGCAATACAATACATTACATTACAATACATTACATTACATTACAATACATTACATTACAATACAATACATTACATTACATTACAATACATTACATTACATCATTTTACATTACATTACATTACAATACATTACATTACATTACAATACATTACAATACATCATTTTACATTGCATTACATTACATTACATTACATCATTTTACATTATATTACATTACATTACAATACGTTACATTACAATACAATACATTACATTACAATACAATACATTACATTACATTACAATACATTACATTACATTACAATACAATACATTACATTACATTACAATACATTACATTACATTACAATACAGTACATTACATTACATTACAATACAATACATTACATTACAATACATTACATTACATTACATTACAGTACATTACATTACATTACAATACAATACATTACATTACAACACATTACATTACATTACACTACATTACAATACATCATTTTACATTGCATTACATTACATTACATCATTTTACATTATATTACATTACATTACAATACGTTACATTACAATACAATACAATACATTACAATACAATACATTACATTACATTACAATACATTACATTACATTACAATACATTACATTACATTACAATACATTACATTACATTACAATACAGTACATTACATTACATTACAATACAATACATTACATTACATTACAATACATTACATTACATTACAAAACATTACATTACATTACAATACAATACATTACATTGCATTACAACACATTACATTACATTACAATACAATACATTACATTACAATACATTACATGACATTACAATACAATACATTACATTACATTACAATACATTACATTACATTACAATACAATACATTACATTACATTACAATACATTACATTACATTACAATACATTACATTACATTACATTACAATACATTACATTACATTACAATACATTACATTACATTACATTACAATACAATACATTCCAATACATTCCAATACATCATTTTACACTACATTACATTACAATACATTACAATACATCATTTTACATTACACTACATTACATTACATTACAATACATCATTTTACATTACACTACATTACATTACATGACAATACATTACATTACCACCGCATCATAACATACATATATATATATATACACTTAAAATCACTTATATATGTATGCGTGTATAAATATGTACATATGCCGAGGAGCCATCTGGAGTCAGGGCACAGAACTTCACCTCAGTTCGGGGCTGTTCCCAACAGCCTACGGTGGGAAAACCTGGGTAAATATAGAGGTAACATGACCAAGAACCCCCCCAAAAGTGGCTATCATTTATCTATGAGTTGGAGCAACACAACTAAAGTTGCTCTAACTTTTGCCGACGAAAAATTGACATTGCTTTTAGATAAATCCTAATAGGTCAGTATCTTGATGGGTTCGTGAATCAAAACTTAAAGACTGCAAGCAGCAAACAGCTGCTTGCAGGGAAATCTATCCCAGGATATTTCAAGACACCTCATGGTCTGGTTGAATGCATCCCATTGCGTGGAAAGTACGCACTTAACCATTCCGTGCCACCTTGCAGACTAAAGATCATCCCCTGTGGCCGGTCCAAAATACAATCACTGAGTTCCCCAAACATCTCTTGATCAGGATTTCTTGGACATCATGGCGCTCATCCTTACTATGGTTGTGTGAGTGCCGTGGCAAGCTATTGCGCCAAACATGATGGATCAACAAGTATTACCAATACTGCAACCAAATAGCCAACACTGAACGATGTCCGATCGAGTCATGATGATTGTCATGGTATTGTGAAGTATGATATAAATGTATTGCACACATGTATTATATATATACATGTTTTATATAACCATATATATGTACTATAGAACTATATGGAGATGTATTATACTATTATATAAATGTCTTATATATGTATATATGATAAATAAAATACATGATGTTTAATACAACACCTTTGCAAAACGTCAGAAATCCGTGGCTGTTCTGTGGGTGGATGTCCCCGTCGTCCCCGTCCCAGGTCCTCCTGACCTTGGACCGATGTGGAATGGCCTCCGGCGGCAAAGTCACCTGTGCCGTGGAAGTTGCGAACGTCAGCCTGCCCGGAATGATGTCAGCAATATACAGATGTCAACTTCATTGAACATGAATCTTGAATTATCAACAAAATTAAACAAACTGGATCCTAGATCTGGACTATTGGATTACCATGCTGCATGGTTCGAACTCTTCCTGTCCAACGCCAGGCTTAAAAGATGAGGATGGAAGAAGGTTCTGGTGATGGAGGAGATCCTGCAAATCTGTGCTTTGCACCTGACATTTGACATGGCACAGATAAGGAGGTCCCCGGTCGCTCACCAGGCCGGACTGGAAAAAGGGACCCTCCGTCATCGGCAAAAATTGGTCCATTCCCAGATGGAACAATGGAAGGACAATTTCTGCAACATTTATTTTTGGTATGAACAATCAAATGCACATGGTTTGATAACATTTGGTGGAAACCCATTCCTTGATTGATGAGCTCGAAGAAATTTGAACAATACCGCATCATTTTACCTGTCGTGGCATCTCCTTTTCCAAAACATTGCGAGGCATGGCGAGTCCGACCTCCCATGTACCGAAGGCATCGCGGGACATGGGCGTCGCCCCTTCGTTCCAGTTGTTAAAATCGCCCACCAATGACCTCAACTTCGGTGGGTGGATTTTCAAGGCCCTCTGATGTCAATGGTGAGAATATGCATGTCATACTCATGATATATGTCTGTCTGTCTGTCAGTCAGTCAGTCAGTCTGTCTGTCTGCCTGTCTGTCTGTCTGTCTGTGCGTCTGTTTGTCTGTTCGTGTGATCGTCTGTTCGCGTGTTCGTGCGTTCGTCTGTTCGTGTGTTCGTGTGTCCGTGTGCCCGTGTGTCCGTGTGTCCGTGTGTCCGTGTGCCCGTGTGTCCGTGTGTCCGTGTGTCCGTGTCTGTCTGCCTGTATGCATGTATGTATGTCTGTGCGTGTGTGTATGTATGTATGTACGTACGTACGTACGTCTGTCTGTCTGTCAGTATGTATGTCTGTCAGTATGTATGTCATGTATGTATGTCATGTATGTATGTCAAGTATGTATGTCATGTCTGTCTGTCTGTCAGTCAGTATGTATGTCTGTCAGTATGTATGTCTGTCAGTATGTATGTCATCTATGTATGTCATCTATGTATGTCATCTATGTATGTCATCTATGTATGTCATCTATGTATGTCATCTATGTATGTCATCTATGTATGTCATCTATGAATGTCATCTATGTATGTCATCTATGTATGTCATCTATGTATGTCATCTATGTATGTCATCTATGTATGTATGTATGTATGTATGTCATCTATGTCATCTATGTCATCTATGTCATCTATGTATGTATGTATGTGTGTATGTATGTGAGTATGTATGTATGTATGTAAGTAAGTATGTCATGTATGTATGTATGTATGTATGTATGTATGTATGTATGTATGTATGTATGTATGTATGTATGTATGTATGTATGTATGTATGTATGTCATGTATGTCATGTATGTCATGTATGTCATGTATGTCTTGTATGTCATGTATGTCATGTATGTCATGTATGTCATGTATGTCATGTATGTCATGTATGTATGTATGTCATCTATGTATGTCATCTATGTATGTCATGTATGTATGTATGTATGTCATCTATGTATGTCATCTATGTCATCTATGTATGTCATCTATGTATGTATGTATGTATGTCATCTATGTCATCTATGTCATTTATGTTATTTATGTATGTATGTATGTGTGTATGTATGTGAGTATGTATGTATGTATGTAAGTATGTAAGTAAGTATGTCATGTATGTATGTATGTATGTCATCTATGTCATCTATGTCATCTATGTATGTATTTATGTATTTATGTATGTACGTATGTATGTCATCTATGTATGTCATCTATGTATGTATGTATGTATGTGTGTGTATGTATGTGTGTGTATGTATGTGAGTATGTATGTATGTATGTAAGTAAGTAAGTATGTCATGTATGTATGTCATGTATGTCATGTATGTCATGTATCTCATGTATGTCATTTATGTCATGTATGTCATGTATGTCATCTATGTCATGTATGTCCTGTATGTCCTGTATGTATGTGGTGTATGTGATGTATGTATGTCATGTATGTCATGTATGTCATGTATGTCATCTATGTCATGAATGTCATGTATGTCATGAATGTCATGAATGTCATGTATGTCATGTAAGTCATGCATGTCATGTATGTCATGTATGTCATGTATGTCATGTTTGTCATGTTTGTCATGTATGTCATGTATGTCATGTATGCCATGTATGTATGTATGCCATGTATGCCATGTATGTATGTGTGACATGTATGCCATGTATGCCATGCATGCCATGTATGCCATGTATGCCATGTATGCCATGTATGCCATGTATGTATGTATGTAGGTATGAATGTATGTATGTATATGTATGTGTATGTATGTGTATGTATGTGTATGTATGTGTATGTATGTGTATGTATGTGTATGTATGTGTATGTATGTGTATGTGTGTGTGTATGTGTGTATGTGTGTGTATGTATGTGTATGTATGTCTGTCTGTCTGTCTGTATGTGTGTGTATGTATGTATGTATGGATGTATGTACGTGTATGTATCTATGTATGTATGTATGTATGTATGTGTGTATGTATGTGCAGGTATGTGTATGAATGTGTCTGTATGCCTGTATGTCTGTATGTCTGTATGTCTGTATGTCTGTATGTCTGTATGTCTGTATGTCTGTATGTCTGTATGTCTGTATGTCTGTATGTCTGTATGTATGCATGTGTATGTGTATGTGTATGTGTATGTGTATGTGTATGTGTATGTATGTGTATGCATGTGTATGTATGTGTGCGTATGTGTATGTATGTCTAGGTCTATGTCTATGTATATAAATGTGTATGTATATGTATATGTATATGTATGTGTATGTGTATGTGTGTATGTGTGCGTATGTGTATGTATGTCTAGATCTATGTCTATGGAAATGTGTATGTACGTACGTACGTACGTATGTAAATATTATGCATGCATGTATGTATGTATGTATGTACGTATGTGTACGTATATGTAAGTATATGTATGTATACGTATGTCTATGTCTGTAAATGTATGCAAATGTATGTATATGACGGTTTGTCAAAATGTCTGCTAGCGGTTTTGTAAATAAATCGCAATTCCATGCGTGCCGCCTCATGTTTGCCTTTAAAAAACATGACCTACCTTGATGACGTGAAAACGTGGAAATTCTTCGTTACCTTTGGAAATCTTTCTAAAACCACAGGAGTTTTCATTCGCTGTCGCTGGTACTATCTCCTGAACTGTGTGTCTCTGCGTGTGTGCCTCTCTGAATACAATATGCTTCTTGACATGCCTCCTGATCAACGCTGTTTCCTTACTGTAAGCTACCAAAGCGTGAACATGGCTGTGCCTCTGAATGGGCTGCGGGTGGACCGGGGCATGTATTTGCAATTTTCGCTAGCGCGTTGCTAGCGGTGATCTAGCGCGTAAAATACGTAAAAAAATCGCAAATTTGGGAATATGTGGAAACTGACAGACTTGTAAGAAAAGCTGGCAAGACATTCACGACATGGAGGCCATGGCTGTAAATCAAACCTAGCGCAAATCTAGCGGGTTTGCTAGCGCTGCCTTGCAGAATTGCTGAATTTAGTTGCGTGCCGCCTCATAACGAAGAGGAAAAAACAGTAGACCCAGATGAATTATCAACAACCAATACTAAACTTCTAAACAACTATTTTTGACAAATGGTCATATGTATGTATATGTATGTACATGATTGTACATGTATGTCTATATGTATGTAAATGTTAATGTGGATGGATGAATGGATGATTGGATGAGTGTATCACTGTATGTATGTATACATGTCACACTGATCACACCCCTGATTTTTGAGAAATGCGAGATTAATTTTCAGCTGAAGCCCAGATTGATGCGCACCTATCAGGTGCACGGATCCCTCACCCTGGAAGTGCCAAGGGCAGCCTTGAAACCTGTGGCATGCCTTTGACACCATTGAGGTGACAGCTGAAGAGACACACACACACAGAGGCTTGTTTTCTACCACCAGATAGGTTCTACATAACTACAATTGTAACTAGAGGTTATAACACCTGCTCCGGAAGAATCATTGGAGTGACCTCTCTAAGCAGGTGCTGTAAATAACAGTACGAATATGTTGTAAGTCGGTGTCAATATTCGTGATAGATCGTGATTGCATATTTCATACGACTTCCACCAAGAACTCTTTGCATCACTGGATACTTCCCACTGCTGTGGCAATGGATGCGACAGTAAGATTCGCAGCTTTCGCAGCTGGCCAATTTTTTCCATTGCGAAACGGGTTTCCGCACAAAAAATGCGGAAGGGTTTAGTGGCGCTGCCACTGGGTCTGCACGAAATGCGTCACATTACCGCCTCCCCTTTTCCCGGGGTACGGCATGCGGGTATCCTCTAAGGATGAACTGTACAACTGGACAGGGGCAGGGCTTGCAAACAATGCATAGAAACAAATGGGTACCCACATTGAAGTTCTTGACGTTGTATGACATTGTGGGTTCACAGCCACGAATCACGAACTTTTGGTCCGGTGTGCCTCACCCTGAATGTCCTTCACCAAGAGATCGGTAAAATGTGAACTCTTGGCTGGGCTGTACCATGGACCCTGCCGGCCACTGCCAGCAACACGCTGGCTTGAATCATAAACCGGATGTGAATCTAATTTCTCACCATGAATTTCAACCTTTCACTATTTTGCCTCTGGTTCATCCTATCTGATCTATCTGTAATGTGTCTTTTCACAATGTCAGGTTCATCGGATCCGGATATGTAGACTCTTCCATCCAACCCTTTCGTTGGCGATGTGGCCTGATACGGCATTGAACGGGCGCTTAGAGCTTGATAAACTGGAACGTGACCCACAAAGAGGGTGCAAGGAGGTGTCAGGAAGGGACCACTGCGACAATGTGTCGCCTGGAATTGGTGAGCGATGGCAAAGGGTTGTTGTTTCTGGGTCCATCCTGTCACCCGGCAGCGACAAATCGCACTGCTTGCACATCTGGCAGTGCCTTTCCTGCGAGTCGTGGAATCCAGCTGAAAGTGGTATATGGCGATTCCCTCTCCTGTCTACATATTGATGATATACATGCGTAAATGCATATATATATAAATAAATAACACATATATATAACAAATATATATATATAATAAAAATATATAATATACATTAATATACAATATATACAATATATAAACAATATATATATATAATATAGATATAATATATAGAAATAAGAGATATATATATATAATATAATATAATATAAAACATATATACTATATATAAAATATATAATATAAATATATATATAATATAAATAATAATAATATATATAATATATAATATATATAATATATATAATATATATAATATATATTATATATATAATATAAATAAATAAATAATATAAATAATATAAATAGTATATATAATATATAATATATATAATATATAATATATATAATATAAATATATAAATGTATAATCTATAATATAATAAATATATTTTATTTAAATATATATAGATAT